TTTCCGGGTCCACTGGTGGAACCTCTTCTAACCTTTTCGGTAGATTTGACGAACCGGTTCTACCGAATAGGAGCGAACTGGTTGGAACCCACCTCTGATGAGAAGGTTGTGTTATATTTGATGATCAGATGATCTTCATGTACATGAGATAACGGATATCAGTTATTGAACAGAAATGAATTTTCTTTTCAGTCTTAAGAAAACATGGCAGTGAATGACTAAGAGAAACAGCAAAGAACTAGGAAATTTCTTATTGGGCCATTGTCAATTGATGGAAAGTTGTGCCACATTTGGGCATCATTTGTATCTCTAATGACCATATTAGTAATGGAATTAATTTGCATGTTTTGATTACCCTATATCAGTGATGATTAGGGGTCATCTAATTAGCTTGCCTTGATTTATGATTGCTTTTTGCAATCTTTACTTGCAAAATTTAACAAGTGTTTGTACAGCAGCATTTGCAACCCACAACAGCTAATCTTGTGCATTTACTGTCCCTTTTCCTTCCCCCAAATTTATTGGAGATAGCTAAAGCACAACCTAATATTTGTTTCCCCTGCCCGGATATTTGTTTCCTTTCCTTAATGCCTTTTATGCTGCAACATCACCATCCCAGATTCAAAAGCCCAATAACTAAAAATAAATGGCCAACATTTTAGGAGATCATCTCCTAAATATGGGCAGCTATGTTTCCAACTGAAATATTGAAACGTTTTAGGTAGAAAGGGCATCTTGGGCAATCCAATGATTCCCTGAGATGTTTGCCATTAAAAAATAAAGTGGGGGGAAATGATTATTTTGATTTATGCATCAATGACTGCTTCCAGTATCTTTCAAAATCACAGTTTTTCTGGACCACAAATTGGGAATAATTGGCATTGATATTTAATGCATTCAAAAACTTTTCAACTAATTTCCTTAATGCATTTTTTTCAAAAGGTTTTTTTTTCCCCTCCTTTGGTATTCTTAATGGGAAAATTGAATTAATAACTTTTCCATTAAGATTACTGAACTAAATTTGGGATGTATTGAAATATACATCTCAAAAGCCCGGTGTGATTGATTTAATATGAAAACTACATACATGTGCACAAATACAGGTAAGTCCTCAACTTACGACCACAATTGAGTCCAAAGATTTCTGTTGTTAGGTGAGACATTTGCTAAGTGAGTTTTGACCCCATTTTACGACTTTTCTTGACACAGAACCAGTGGACAAGCATCTGAAATCTTATCCCATGATCATGGGGATGCTGCAACAATCATAGCTGTGAAAAAATGTTCACTTTTTTCATTGCTGTTGTAACTTGTAAGTGCTCACTAATGAACAGTTGTAAGTTGAGGACTACCTATACACATTGATGGAAAATCAAAGATATTTTTTCCTGGTTGTCATGGAAACTACCTAGCAAATGTGACCCTTTTGAAGAAGCAAGAAAAATTACAGTTTTCTTTTATATTTCATTCAGTTCAATACCGTAAAAACTTTAATTTTTTCTAATTTAAATACAGCGAGTTAGATGACAACCTTAGATTTATCTTTCATGGGAAGTGGCTCTCTCAAAAAAAAACAAAAAGCATTTCAATATAATTAATTAATAATTTAAACAGCCGTATTTTAGCAGTTCTCCACTGTGGTGTTTCAAATTCCATAGTAACCAGATCACAGTCTTGCTAAGGAATAGCTTAGTCCTAGACCTAAACCTTATTAAGGAGAGTGTCAATTAATGCAAAATATCAAGCATAATATTTAATGCGATCCTATGTTATGTAGATTTTATTTTCAAACTTGTTCATTATTCTTATTTTCATTGCTTTCCATCTCCTTTAGTATCAAATTCATACCATGTCTTTTTTTTTCTGCAAAATAGCACACAACCTTTTTATAAGCAAATGTTTATAGGCTGTCTAGCACTTTGGATTCAAAAGACAAAAAAAGTGCTTGAGAGCATATGTGGGCACACGCCTAACCTCTTTCGGTAATTCTTCAATCTATCCTTCCTGTTATATCTACAGGCTCCCTGGAGAGACTCATAGTAATTGATTTAAGAAGTCATTGTTACATGCGGGCTCATGTGGAGTCGAAGTACTTTTTTCCTCTTTAAATCTAAAAGCACTTTGCAGCCTTGTTAGAAACAGCTTCAAATTGGAAAACAAAAAATGAAGAATGGATTTGCAATAATGTTAAACTATTGCTTAGAAAACTTTTGGTTTATGATTAATGTTACTATTAACTATAAAAATCAGTTATTTAAAATATCCCTCAATACTGTTTATTATTGTGTTGGTAAATTTATTAATTCAATCATCCTTATAGGCTAAATTTCCAATTTGAAAACTGTTCAAGTTGGGAGGATTTGGTGAACATTTCAGCGAGAATTAATAGACTTCAAACTAGATCATAATGTTTCTGACACTTGGAGCTTTGTAATACCTCAGTGGGTTAAAATAATGAATGTATTCATATTCTGGTTAAATTTCCTCATTAAGCTACTATGTTTTAAAGTATTAAGGTGTCTCTGCTGTTTCATGCAATTAACAATCTAAGTTTAACTTGACTTTCTGTAATATGTTCTAGATATCTTGTTCCACTTGTAGTAAATGCTTCAGTTGCACAT